GGCCAGCGCCGCTTGGAGGAGGGAAGATGGCGCTGAGGGAGGAGGGTGGCAGCAGCCGCCTGCTGTGGGGGGACCGCATCGCTCTCTACGAGTGCCTGAGGATGGAGAAGGCGGTTTGGTCTCTGCTCCCAAGGAACAAGGGGTGGCACAAGAGGAAGCGGCCTCAAGCTGCCCCAGGGCAGGTTTAGCTGGAGCTGAGGAACAATTCCTTGCCCAGAGGGTGCTCAGGCATTGGAACAGGCTGCCCAGGGCAGGGCTGGAGGCACCGTCCCTGCAAGTGTTCACAGCCCGGGTAGACGAGGCCTCAGTGCCAGGGGTCAGTGGTGGCCTTGGCACTGCTGGGAATGGTTGGACTGGATGAGCTTGAAGGTCTTTTCCAGCCTCATTGCTTCTATTGGATTCTAAATAAAAGGGGAAAAGCACGGAGATAAATCAACCATCTCCTCCATGCACAGGGGATAGAAAGGGCAACAACGCTGGTGGGTGCAAACCTCTGTAAGCAGCTGAAGAGAGAAAATCATTCCCATCCCAATCTGCAACATGCCGTGTTAAATGTTAATCTAAGACACCACCCCCCAAAAAAGCTTAACCTTCAGTGAGTTTCTTTGCACACTTAGACGCTCATGCCAGCGTACAGGAGCGGGCAGCAGAGAGGTGGGAATGAGCAGCAAGGATGGGTCAAGGTTACTCCTTTTGGAGTCTTCAAGCACTAGCAAAAGTACAAGAGAGTAATCATAGAATAGGACGGGAAGGACCTTAAGATCATCTAGTTCCAAGCCCCCCACCATAGACACATGGGCTGGCAGCAGTAAAACCATCCTGAAGTGAGCTCAGTGGACTGGGGCAGAGCAAAGCCCATTAACTCCTTGCAGTACCTGGGTTTCCTGGTGAAGTCTGTCACATAGAGGATGCAGCCTGCTTTCTGTTCCAAGTAGAGACTGGTGGTTTACTCAGTGAGCATCACAGCGACTTGGTCCTGCCAGTCCCTGCAGAATGTAGTAAAGCTGGATTAATTTAGGGGGGGAACCCGGGGATGTTGGCAGAGCAAGGATGGTAAAAGGCCAAGAGGATCCTGGCTATAGAAGTAGAACAAGGAGCCATAAGGTGCCCAAACAACAAAAATCACACAAAATGCAAAAAAACACCCCTGAGACTTCATCACAGAACAATACAGAACAGTGGAGGGAGTCCATCTGAGGTCGTCAGAGTCCCTTGCACATGAAATGAGCCTTCGTTGGCACAAGGCACATGTTGACTGTAGTGGCCACGCCTCCTTCACTTAGTACTTGCCATGAAGAGTGCATCTGTAAGATTGGAGAGGGGAGACTGCAGAGAAGCCTCTGCTCCTTTCAAGGCTCTGTTAAACATCGCTGTGTTCTGCAGAAAGAGCAGCAGATTGGCCTCTGGTTTTGGTATGATGCTGGAGAAGTGTTCCTTCTGTAAGAAAGGGGTAAGAAGCTCTGGCTTTTACGTTTTCCCTCTGTGGTTTTAGATGCTGGAAAATCCAGCATAGCTTAAGGGACAGTAAGCAGCACTCTAGGAATAGTTGTTTGGTCATTGTAGTTTCTAGTAAATCTACCTCTTTGTTGCTCATCTCCTTGCTTTTGGGCTTTATTTCTCTTTCAGGAATGTATCAAACCTGTAAAAGTGGAAAAAAAGCCTGGGAAAGCAGCAGCCAAGATCAGAATTGAAGCAGATGGGAGCTATTTTCAGATCAATCAGGTAGGTGTGATTTTTCCCCAGTGTTGTGTAAAATAGCCAGAAAACCTGAGTGTATTGTTAAGAACTTGAATAGTCCCCAGCTATTGAATGCCTCAGAGAGGACCAAGGTGTTAGAGAAGTGTCACTGTTGCTGTCAGCATTCTCATACCTTTATTCCAAGGTCCAGCTTTTTAATTACCTGGTTTTATAAGCAATAATTCCAATGCTGTGTCAGTCTTCTGTGCTCTGAAACAGTGACTTTGTTTAGTGATGACTTTCAGTATCAGAGCAGATAAGCCAAGTCTGTTTTGCCATCAGTACTCAAGTATTAGCAATTCTTAGGTTATTTGTGACAATGTCTTTTCTTATTGCATTATGGCAGAGAGAGATTCAATTAAATAACCTGGAATTTTGTTCTGATTTTTTAACAGTATTTCAAATTATTTGTTCAATAGGCTGCACAATTGATAAGATCCCAAAATTAATGCCAAGTTTTGCGGGATGATTCTCCTATTAACCCAGAACAGGTCAGCATTTCTTAGTTAACCAAGCTGGGAATTCATCTAGAAATGGTACATTTAACTTCAGGCAGATGGTGACCTTGTCATTTAAAAAAGGGGAATACAGCACTTCCAAAGAGTCCAAAGTTTCCTAATTTAAAGTTTTAATTTAATGCTACCTAATTGCTGGGTCTGTTTCTGACTATATTGAGAAGTGACATTTAAGAGGAGAGTCTCATGGGAAAACTGGCTTATTCAGGTCAAATACTACGAAAAATACTTCCTTCCAGTGGCAAGCCACACACGGGGATTTGCTGTGACACTTTTCCCATCAGGGCCTGAGGTTTGCACACAGAAAGACAGCAGAATGCTCAGCATCAATGAAACAACAGTAGTGAGCTCTAGTTTGGTTACGTGGTCTACGCAGCAGGAGTGAAAGTCATGTTTAGTGTGAAGAAACAGCTCCGTTGTATTCAATTGGGGGTTGGAACTGGATGATCTTAAGGTCCTTTCCAA